GCGGATGTCCGGGCGGGGCGAAATTTTGACATCCAAGCAGCGGCTTTCATGCCAGGTCGCCGCGGGCGGGCCCGGGGGCGCTTGTCGACAGGGCAGCGCCCTCACCGTGGGCGGCGCGCCTCGTTGCCCATGCGCATCCCTGATCGGGCTCTCAGCCGTCGCCTTCCCAATCGGGGGACCGCCCCTGGCGACTTTCCACGAGCCCCCCCGCGAGCACCCCCGCGAGAATGTCCGGGCTCACCATGAGAGTCGCCGCTGCCTCTGTCCTCGGGCGGGCCCGGCGAAGAGGGGATTGAGGGGGGAATGCGTCGCTTGAGCGACCGCGCTTCAATGCCCATCGCCGCGCGTGTAGCAGCTGGCGCGCGCCTGGCCCTTTCGATTCCTGCGAAGCAGTAGTTCAGCCCCCCCGACGCACCGAGCCCGAGATGCTTTCGCATCTGCGGCCAAGTCCGGGCGCTGCTGGCCTTCCAGGCAGAAAACGGCCCCGCGCGCGGAGTCCGCGAAGGGGGGGCCCGCGGCCCCGCCCCACCCCGCACCCCCTGCCTGCGCCCCCCCTTTCCTAGGCGCGAGCGCGGCACCGCGCGGCGGCGCAATGCGATGATCAGACGCGAGGTGCTCGCCGAGGTCAGGCTGGCCACAGAAACGGAGGCGCAGCAGCGACCGATTGGGCGACGCATCGAACGCGACAGGCGTCAAGACGTCGCGCTGGCCCGACGAAAACGCGACAGGGCACAATGCAGCATGACATACTCGAACTGGATGAGATATACCTATACGACCACCCTTCGGATGATAAGGAGGTTCGGGGGGGGAGGAACCAACGTCTCACTCGATCGGTCTCACTATCGATCTCACTATCGATCTCAGTATCTGTCTCGCTCGATCGATCTCCCTCGATCGATCTCCCTCGATCGATCTCACAATCGATCTCACTCACTCGATCTCACTCGATCTCACTCGATCTATCCCACACTCGATCTCACTCGGTCATCATCATCATCATCATCGTCCTCATCATCATCAGCATCATCATCATCAGTCGCATCATCATCATCAGCATCAACATCAGCATCAGCATCATCAGGAACATCATCATCAGCATCACCATCATCATCATCATCATCATCATCATCATCATCATCATCATCATCTTCATCATTTCAACATCATCATCATCATCATCATCATCGTCATCATCATCATCATCATCATCGCGGGACGCCGCGGGACACCGGCGGGACACCGCGGGGCACCGCGGGACACCGCGGGACACCGCGGGACACCAGCGGGACACCGCGGGCCACCGGCCGCCCGGAAGGGAGACATTTGGTCCGGCCGCGCCTCAGCCACACGGGACACCAGCGGGACATCGGCGGGACACCGCGGGCCACCGGCCGCCCGGAAGGGAAACATTTGGTCCGGCCGCGCCTCAGCCACAGGAGACTTTCTTTTCGCCCGCCCACGCAGCTTCGCCTCGCCCGCACGCGCGGCACGCACGAACACGAAACCGAAATCGATTTCCCGGTACGGGCGCTCTCCGTTCCACTTCGATCTCACCCCCTCACCTCCGATCTTAGTTGAATCTTGTTAAATACACCAAGGACAGAAGGATGGCGCCCTGCCAAACGCATCGTCCACTCCGAAGCAAGGCTGGTTCCAGGACACAAGCAGGCGCAGCAACGACCGATTAGACGACGGATCAACCGTGGCGGACGTCAGGACGCCTCGCCGCCCGCCGAAAGCAAAACGTAACAAACCGCATGCGATTATAACAGAACAGAACCGAAACGCACGTCACAGAGAAACATACAGCACAGACCGAGTAATGTCCTACCACCAGACACGCGACATGCGTGCCGAACCCACGCTGGCCACATGAACGAACAGTCGCAGCAACGACTGATCAGACGACGCATCAAGCGTCACGGGCGTCACGACGTCACGCTGACCCGTACAGGACAGAACATAGCAGTCCATAGTGGCATTGATCTCCCTGGGGCAGAATACAAGCGAACAGCACATGGCAACACATTACACGACAGCCGCCAACCCACGGCGTTTCATCAAGCGAACGTCAGACCATATTCGGCCGTACCATACTAGGATCTAGCGCGACGCGCGCCAGTGTCGTGCTGGCCACAGGAAACAACAGGCGCAGCAACGACCGATTGGACGTCGTATCTGATGTGACAAGCGTCACGACTTCACGCCGGCCCGTCGAGAACACAACATCACGTATTGCAGTATGACATATTAGAACACGGTGGGGTACAACGTAGTTGAATAGTGTTGAACGCAGCAGCGACAGATTGATGGCGGTCTGCCAAACGCAGCATCCACAACGATGAAACTGTGACCACATGACAAACAGGCGCAGCAACGACAGGTCAGACGACATATCAAACGCGACAGGCGTCACAGCGTCACGCCGGCCCGTCGAGATCAAAACAGAACAAGCCGACCTTGAATATAACATAACAGAACTGAACATAACGTCACAGAGCTCAATACAGCAGAAACCGACTAATGCAATCCTTGTTTTCGTGGCATGCGCGCCAAACCCACGCTGGCCACATACACAAACAGTCGCAGCAACGGCCGATTGATCGACTGAGCAAACGTGACAAGCGTCACGAAATCACGCGGCCATCCCAGAACAGACCACAACATAACTCAATTCAATTTACTACACGGGCGTAATCCAAACGAGCGTAATGTAACACAATCGTATACAGCAGCCGCCATTTCAAAGTGCCCCATCAAACGAACGCCACGGCTACACTATCAAGCGTTACGTTCGCGCCAAGGTCGTGTTGGCAACAGGAAGAAGCACGCGCAGCAACCTTCGATTGGGTGACGTAGCCAACGTGGCAGGCGTCACGACCTCACGCCCGCCCGTCGAGAACAGAGCCTAACAAACATAATGTTGTTTATGACACCGGGGCAAAGTCCACGCAATAGCCTCCTTTTTCTCATCTCCCTCCTCCTCCTCGTCCTCCTCCTCCATTGACAGGTTGCACGGTCCCAACTTTCCGAACATGTTTTGGGGTCTCGCTCACACCACGCGTTTTGTGGCTTGGTTTGTCGCCCCAGGGTTTTGTCTGGTTTCTTTCGTCTGGGTTTTCCTCCTACGACAACCTGGGGTCGTTAGGTTTTACGACGGGGGCAATTTGCGACCTGGCCCGGCCGCGCGTCCTGCGCGCATCGTTCCAGAAGGCGCGCGCACTGTCGGGAACAAGCCCCGAAGATTCCAGTGGGGATCTGTCAAACCAAAATTATTGATCGTAGCAGCCTGCAGGTGCGGATGAGAGTGGGGGGGCGGCTGGGACGTCGGCAGTCTGCGATGCTCCGACGAAGCCCGCCGCAGGCGCCTTCTTTTGAAAAGCAAGCAATGTGGGTGGCTCGCGGGTGGCTCGCGAGTGGGTCGAAGGCCGGGTCGCGGACGGTTCGCGGCCAGGTCGCGGCCGGGTCGCGGGTGGGTCGCGGGTGAATCGCGGGCGCGGATGGATCGCGGGTGGGGCGCGGGGTGGGGCGCGGGTGGGTCGCAGGTGGGTCGCGGGTGGGTCGCGTGTGGGTCGCGGCTGGGGGACGACAACAAACAACAGCAGCAAGAGCAACAACAATCATTCTAAGAATGTTAGTTCTTACCTGCCCGTGTGTCATTCAAAACGAGCTCCCCACACCATCGATACCCGCTTTTTTTGTCTTCGAGCACACCCCCTTTGGGGGGATTATTTCTCTTTGCTGGGGTCGGCGGGCTTAGACAGGCGCGCAAACCTGAACGGGCGGACAATCCCTCGTGGGCGTACATGTGCCCGCCATTGGAATTTGTGTGGGCGCTGCAAAAAGAGGACTGGGAGAACGAGGGAGAGTGGTAGGAAGGGAACACCAACAACAACCACAACTACAACAACTACAACAACTACAACAACTACAGCAACAATAAGCAACAACAACAAGCAACAACAACAAACAACAACAACAACAACATCAACAACAACAACAACAACAACAGCATCAACAACAACAACAATCCGCACAGCATAACCTCACTTCAGCCACGCGCCCAGAGACAGTGAATGACCGTTCGGCCCCTCACTCTGATCTAGCCTCATGCCGGGTTCGATTCGGCCTGATGTGGCTCTTTGGTTTTCTTAGCGGGCATACTCGCTCTGAGTCGTTTTCACGAGGATCTGCGACCAATTGCAAATCCTACCCCTTCGGGTCCATTCGATGTTGGGGTATCCGACACCCCTGCTAGAGCACTTGGCTGCAGACATCCTCCGAATGGTGAACCCCGGCTGGCGTTTCAGAAATGTCGAAATTCTGGTCAGAAGGAACCCCGGGGAGATGTTTGGGGAGTAGCGGTCCCAGACTTCCGGCATAATTGTTTCATGACGTCGTCCCCCAGAGGTCTCGACCCATTCCCTGGGACCGGTTTCCTGTCCCAGTTCGTTTTTCGACGGTCCCGAGGCCTGGTAAGGGCTCCCCGAGGCCGAAGATTGCGAAGAACCTCCGTGATTCTGTCATGACCCGAGGGGGTGTGGGATATCGGTATTTTTGGGGTTCCCCACACATCAGCGACGCAACAAAAGCGGTTTCGATTGCGCCGACATTTGCGCGCAAGCTGCCCGCGTCGGGTCGCGCAGAAGCGCCTTGGTCACCATTGCGGCGTGCCGCGGTGGCGGCCCGCGTAAGCCGCAGCGTAAGGTCGCCGTGCCATCTCGCGTACGACCCGTTTTGGATCGTCGTTCACATGTGTTCGGATGCAACTCCTGAGAGGTCAAACTCTGATTTTGCCCTGGTCCGAAATCCGACTTGCAATCCCGCTCAATCCCGCACAATCCGGCTGAATCCCGCGTAATCCGTTGCCCATTCCGGCGCAACCGCCCCCCATTGGGGCTTAACCCTCCTTCTAATCCTTCCGACGAAGACCTCCCAGCATTTGCCTCCTGACATGTGGTTGTCCGGCAGACCCTCCGCAAGTTGCTTCCCGGCAGGTCGTCGCGCTCGAGGCGCTGCGGGCGCCCGGGAGCGGCAGCGCGCCGCTGCCTGTGGAGTACGCGCTGCGGGTGCTGTCGTCGGCGGCGTCGGGCGCGCCGTCGTCGCTGCTGCAGCAGGCGCTCTCCTCCTCCTCCTCATCCTCCTCTTCTTCCTCCTCCTCCTCCTCCTCCTCCTCCTCCTCCGTTCAAGGGCCCAGACTCCCTCGGGCCGTGGAAAAATTACGACGGGAGGTTTACCTTGACTTTTGACCTTTTGGGGGCCCTTGCCGCGCCTCGGAACCCTTTAACAAACGACCGAGGATGAAAAACCCATCCCGGGGCATGGGTCGTGACCCCTGGAGTCGTCGTTATTTCAGAAAATCATGACGTCGGGGGCGGGTTCGGCCCCGGGCGTGACCGCGAATACGAAAAGACGGGCCCCTGGCAGCAGCGCGCTGGCGATCGGCGCTCCGTCCATGGCCCCCCGGATTTTCCCCGTCGCGATCGGTAGCGACCGATCGGCACTCCAAATCGGTCACGACCGATTGCGACCTATTCTCGATTCCCAAATCGGTCGCGATTGGTTAAGAAGCAGGTCGGTCGCGAGCGAGAACGGAAGTTGAAGCCAAGTCGGTAGCGACCCGTCTCGTCGGCTCTGGGGGGGGGGGAGACTCACCCATTCCGAGCAATCCGCGCGGACCTCAGAGTTTTCATGCTTATGCCATTGCTTGTTCCCCTTAAAAAGATCATGACGTCGGGGGTCCAGGAGGATGGTCTCCGGGGGGGGGGGGACTCGTCGGCGGCGTCGGGCGCGCCGTCGTCGCAGCTGCAGCAGGCGCTCTCCTCCTCCTCCTCCTCCTCCTCCTCCTCCTCTTCTTCCACCTCCTCCTCCTCCTCCTCCTCCTCCTCCTCCGTTCAAGGGCCCAGACTCCCTCGGGCCGTGGAAAGATCATGACGTCGGGGGTCCAGGAGGATGGTCTCCGGGGGGGGGGGACTCGCCGACCTCCCGGCGCCCATGGGCTGCGGACCGTGGGGCCCCGGTGGCCCACCCCGCCCAGGACCGTGCGGCTCTGGCATCCCCGACCCGTCGGCGTCGTACCGCCTGTGCCAGGTCGATTCCCCCACACACACACACACACACACACACACACACACACACACACACACACACACACACACACACGCACACACACACACACGCAACACACACACGCACACACACACACACGCAACACACACACACA